TGCCACGCTACACAGAGGGCCTGTCAGGAGGGAGCGCTATGCGCTCTGCGCTCACCTCCTGCCGGTCACTCTGGTTTTGCGCCCGCCGGGCCGGTGCGCCCTAAGGCGGCCACTTGTGCCGCCTTATGGATGCGCCGGCGGAGCGCACGGCGACCTATGGCCGCGTGCCCACATAGGGGGCGCGGCGTGCCACCTGTGGCACGCGTGCCATAGGTTCGCCACCACTGATCTAGATGGATAGGACAAGAGTAGAGACAGGACAATAGCAAAATTTCAGAAACAGAACAAACGTTAATCTCAGGATAAGTTTTCATTGCTTATCCTGAGATGTTTTCAGGAATTAGAATCCTGGATGAATGTGCATCCAAGACCAGATTGTCCTATAAAAACAAGATGCTAGAACAGTGCATCACAGACAAGGAGAACCCCACAGCCAGAAGTCACTTCCGATTTGACACCTCCCCCCATCACCCCCCCAGAGTAGTTCATAATATGGTCACAGGTGCCCCCTTTGAATTTTGTCCTTTCCTCAGTCTTAAAATGGCATTATAAGCATTCTAAACACTTCTACCTTGTGTTCTGGTCATGGTGTCAGCATACCTCAGCCTCTGAGACATATTTAAAACTGTTTTTCATCCTATGGCCGGGACCCTCATTGCCTATATTGCTAATGTGGGAGATTCACCTTTGCATTAGTAAGTTCAATTTTGTCGAGGTTTGAACAGCATTCATAAGTGTGTCAACCAAGGACTAGCAAAGTATGTAAAATACTTAAAGGGATTCTATAGTGTTAGAAATACATAGCTGTATTCTTAACACTATAGTGCCCTTTGGTCCCTTTCTCTTTCGTGGGCCCCCCTTCCATGGAACATAAAGAGTTAAAAAAAAACACCTTTATTTACACACACGTTTCCAGTGCCGATGTGCCTCGGCGCTGGGTCAGTGTTCTGCCTCCTTGTAATACTTTTAGAAAAACTTAATTTGAAACTCAACAGCAGGTGAAAGAATAAATTTGATACTGTCATTTTAAGAAAGTTTCATTTATTGAAATAAGGTATTTTCACTTTAACAATCTTCTGCAGCAATGTATACTGAAAATAATATCCCATCTAGAAATTGTAATCTTGCTAAGGATTACTTCACAGAAAATAGCATTCAGTGGCAACAATTAAAAAAGGTAACTCCTTAAATAGGAATATATAATACAGTCCATTAGACTTCAATTAATGTATATGAGAAAGGCAATCCCTGTTTTAGGAATGTGACAGAGTCCTTTAGATTTCAATAGAAAAAGGTAGAAAATAAGGAAGATCCTGATTCGGATAGTAGTTATAGTCCTTTTAGACTCCAACAATAATAAATGAAATAATTTTAAAAAAGCAATCAGTTGTAATGGAACTTTTATTAGAGCAAATAAGAGGTAATAGAATCCCAGGTAATAGACATATGTATTCCCTTTTTGCTTCAAATAACTTTAAGGCATGATCCAATTATTGATCCTAGTTACTGGAGAATTTAGCTTTGTTCCTGTGGATGATGAGAATGGAAGTCCTTTCCAGTACAATAATGAGGATTGAGGATCCCTATAGTGTACTGAGGATTAGAGGAAATTGTAGTCAAGTCTATTCCGAGTCTGGGAGTGGAGAAGTCAGCGTAGTCAGGATGAGGGAAGAGAGGTTTGGTACACGGGTGATCAAATAGAAGGAGCTCCTCCAGCAATTTAGCAACAAGTAGGTAACAAATTGATTGAGCAATGTGAATGCGGCCGCGGCTTCCTTTTGACATGAGCGGAGTTGGATCAGCAAGAACCTGGAATATGGGGGAATCCTGACACTCCTCCAACATCATCCGACAGAGGGACCGTTTGCTTGGCTAGCCTGGTGAGCGCATTAGGCCCTCCCCATAGGAAAATGTTAACTCAGTGCTTTCCTATAGGGATTTCACTGATGCTGGGTGTCCTTCTGAACAAACTCCTGGAAGCGTCTCTAGTGGCTGTCTGCCTTCTGTGTGTCTCTTTTTCCCCTTCCCCTCTGTGTTTCCCTTCCCCCAGCCCTACTGTGTATCTGTTTGCCAACCGACCCCTTTGTGTGTCTCATTTTTCCTTTCCCATCAGTGTCTCTCCCCCCCAGCCCTTCTGTGTGTCTTTGTCCCCCAGCTCTGCTGTGTGCCTCTTTGTCCCCCCAGCCACTTTTTGTGTCTCTTTCTTCCCCTTCAGCCCCTTTGTGCCTCTGTTTCTCTTCCAACCCCTTTATGTGTATTTTTCCCCTTCCCCAACCCCTCAATGTGTCTCTTTGGCCTGTCCCAGTGCTTCTATGTGACTCTTTGCCCCCAGCCCTTCTGTGTGACATTTTGAGCCCCCAGCCCCTCTGTGTCTCTTTTTGTGCCCCCCAGCCCCTCTGTTTGCCTCTTTGTGCCCCTCAGCCCCACTGTGTGTCTTTGTCCCCAGCCCCTTGTTGTGTCTATTTGTCCCCCAGCCCCTCTGTTTGTCTCTTTGTGCTCCCCAGCCCCACTGTGTGTCAGTTTGTCCCCCCTCATCCCCTTTTTGCCACTTTGTGCCCCTAGACCCTCTGTGTGTCGCTTTCTGCCTCTCAGTTTGTTTTCGAGTGTTTCTTCTGTGTGTCTCCCCCCCAGCACTTCTTAGGGGCCTCTGTTTCTCTTTGTGCCCCCCAGCCCCTTTGTGTGTCTTTTAGTGCCCCTCAGTGTGTCTCTTTGTGCTCTTCTGCATGTCCCTTTGTCCACACTCAGCCCATCTGTGTGTCTCTTTGTCACTGACACTGGATATCGTTATGCAGGGCGTGAGATCCCCCAGTGTCAATTAGGCGACCTGGAGTCCGGTAAACTCTGGTATACAGCCACTAGAGGCTGTCTTAGTACTGCAATGTAAACATTGCAGTTTCTCTAAAACTCCCAGGTTTTACATAGCAGGCTAAGGAGGACAGGAACAGTGCACCCAGACCACTTCAATGAGATGTGCCTATAGTGTTCCTTTAACTCTTGAAATGCCTTACACACAGTGCATGCGTTCGATCAGCACTTTTGGAGAAAATTACAAGCTGAAACAGCATTACTGAGGTGAAGGAACAAGGGGCTGTTTTTTCTCTGGAAGTGACAGTTCCTGTTTAAGGGTCTTTTGAAAACTGTACCTATGTTATTGTGGAAAGAGACCACTAGATGGCATAATAAGTCCATCTTTTATAGTCTAATGACAGCACCAAATGTTGACGTTATTTACTAAAGTAAAGGAAAACTATAGTGTTAGGAATACAAAGCTGTATTCCTGACACTACAGTGCCCTCTGACGCCCCTTCCTGCCCCCGTGGCACAGAAAGGGTTAAAAAACAACAACTTTACTTACTTACCCGATTCCAGGGACGATGCCTTTAAAAAAAAATCATATTGGAAAAAATTAATATTCTCTTTTAACTGTAAATTTAATGAACACTCCAAGCACCATAACACCTATAGAGTGTTGTTGTGGTTATGGTGCCAGGAGATCCCTAGGCCCACCCCACTAAATAGTCAAACTGTTTGACAGCTTACCTGGGGTGTGACGGGCACCTGTCACGGCATCCATTGAGAGCTGGAAATTCCAACAAAGGGCTCTGTTAGCTATCGTGAGCTAAACTCTGGGTGCAAGGCCAGCTGATTGACTGAGAGCATCACAAGATCACTGTCAGCTAACGAACTAAGCCCAGCACTGGGCTGACACCAAGCACACCCCATGTAAATTAGGAAATTATTAGCAAATTATTTCACTACTTACATTAACTGTATTCTGTAAACCGTTAGCAAATGACGTTACAACCCAGTTCATTCGTGGCACACAGTCAGTGGAGGAACATAAATGCACTATAAACAATCTATTACTGTCCAGATTATTCATGAAACACCAAGCTGTGTGAATTGGGAACCAAACAGCACAATGTAGGCCAAAAATGTCAAGCTCCTCTAGATTATAAAATTGTTTTAGCAAGGTCCTCGTCAACCTTTTGTTCCTGTCAAAATGATCGCTAGTTTGTCTCATTTGCTGTTAAAAGTCCTCTTAATAATATAGCAAAGCGCTGTGAAAAAAACCAGCGCTATATAAATGCCAATAATAATAATAATATTAAGTTGTGAGATTTTTCCAAATCAACAAGATTGTTCGCTAAAGTGAGAATTGTCAGGAATTCAAAGTGAATTTCACATTTTACACCATACGAGCCGAGCTAGAAGCCAAGCTGATTTTCAGAATTCTTCCAATACAGTTCTTTTGGACCTAAATTTTAAATTCAGATTCTAATTTCTTACAGTTTAAAGAGATACTATAGACTATTGCCAGGAATACAAAACTGTATCCCTGGCACTATCGCTCCATCTAACCCCCCCTCCCATACTTACCTGATACCAGCGCCGATGTCCCTCGTGGCTGGTTCGCGGCTCCGCCTCCTCTGATGTCCATCAAGAAGGGTGTGCTAATGCGCACGTGAGGCAAGTGCAGTGCGCGCATTAGGCCCATCCCATAGGAAAGCATTGAATCAATGCTTTTCTATGGTGAAATAGCTGACGCTGGATTCCCTCATGCTGAGCATGAGGACGTCCAGCGTCAGTTACCGGACCAAATGTCATTACAGCCACTGGAGGCAGACTTAGTGCAGCAATATAAACATTGCAGTTTCTCTGGAACATCAATGTTTTACATTGCAGCACTAAGTGCAATAGGGACACTGTAGCCAGACCGCTTCAATGAGCTGAAGTGGTCTGGGTGCCAATAATGTCTCTTTAAGTGTTTGGTAAATAAAAGATAAACCCCAGTGCTATCTGTCTCCCCTAACACATTAAGAAAGAGCATGTTTATGGAATTGCAATACAGTTTTATTAAGTATTAGTAGCTTTATATTGTTTCTAATATTGTGCTTTATATTGTACAAGCAGAGATATTGCGTCATTCTCTCTAAATAACATTCCCCAATGACGACCTTCCGCAAAAGCCAGCGCTAAAGAAAACTACAAGTCCCGTCATGCTTTTGGGAGACGGTGCTGTACCACATGACATCTTCGGCCCAATGGCCGTGAAGAAAAAAACCGGGCAGCCAATGGGATTGCGCAGACTGGAAGTAAGCCGTCCAATGAGAACGCGGCGGTTTCAGTTTGAACGTGTTAGTGGTGAAGCGCCTCAGACGGGGTCAGACAGGCGGGCGTGCTGCGGTCTCCTGAGGTATGGCGATGGGCGCTCGGTAGTATAGAGCAGAGGGTGGCCGGCACAGCATCATGGGAGTTGTAGTTTTGTAACAGCTAGATTTTTGTCCTGGCAGCCCAGGCTTTGAATTGCTGATAAAGACATTGGAATGGGTCAGGTGTGAGAGTGGCCATGCCAGTGTGATATATATGAACTCCCACTCCCATGACTCCTGGCAGCCCTTTATTATTGGCCTGTGAGAAGGCAGTAACTTGATGTCACTAGGTATGATGTAAGCATGTCAGCAAGTTACTGCAGTCAGATTAACCTAGGCCTACTAAAGGATCACTATAGTGTCAGGAAAAACAAAGCGGTTTTCCTGTATTATAGTGCCCCCACCATCAGGGAAACTGCAGTGTTAAGGCTGCCACTGGTTGCTGTTTACCAGACAGCCACTAGAGGTGTTTCCTACAGTTTCATGCAGTTTGGCTCAATGAAATGATGTGGAGCTTGGTGGAAACCACATAGGAAAGCATTGGGTCAATGCTTTCCTATGGGGAAGGACTAATGAGCTGTGCGAGCTGCGCACTGGATTCCTCCCATCAACTAACAGAGGAGGAGCCCATCCCAGCACCGAGGGACATCGGCGTTGGAATCAGGCACAGGGACACTATAGTGTTGGGAATACAGGTTTGTATTCCTAACTCTAGTGTTCTTTTAACTCCAAGACAATGAAGCTCCCAGTAAGTGTTGCCTTTGTATTCTTGTGCATACACAGGATCCTCCACAGCTGTTATTATGCATGGACAATGAGATTTAAAGGGTTCGTTGTAACTGAGGTCACAGCTGGGATACGCACAGTCCTTGATGGTGCCCACACATATAATAGGTGTTGTTATTCACATGAACTTGAAGGCTTGTACCCCTAATCACAACTCTTTTAACCCTAAGTTATCCCTGACCCTGCCACATTACAGCAGCATTGAGTACAGCAGCTTTGTGTTGCAAAAGTAGGCTTCATCATCAACAGTACAATACTCCCACTATTTTCAATGTGTACAAAATGCCACAAAGACATTTTGTGCGTCCACATTCCGTAAACAACTCCCAAATGTGTTGGATAATGTCCTCTGTGAATTTTTTAGCAGATTTAGTAAAGGCTAATGCAATAAGGTTAAATATCGTGTGGCTCTGTCATTGCTGGAGCTTGAATAGTAAGTCATTATAAGTAAACTCAATCATGGCTTAATAAAGACATATTTGGTGTCTAAATGTTGTCCTTTCATATTTGATGAAAGGACAACCTTCTTGCTGAGGACTTTGTTTATTTTTGTGTTACTGATGGGGCTCGGTGGAACAGGAAGCTTACGTACAGCACAAACACCAACATTTAGAGTTTTATTGGAGTACCTTAAAGAACCATTATAGTGGCAGGAAAACAAACTCGTTTTCCTAGCCCTACAGGGTCACTAGGTTCCCCCCCCTCCCTCCCCCCATCCTAATGGGCCCGCCTCCTGCTGGTTAAAACCCATTCAGCAATTTACCTTAATCCCGGCACTGATGTCCTCTCCTCTTCCTGCTTACGTCAGCGCCAAATGCGCATGTGTGGCAAGAGCCGCGCGCGCATTCAAACTGCTCATAGGAAAGCATCACTCAATGCTTTCCTATAAACATCAGCGTCTCCTCACTGTGATTTTTCACAGTGAAAATCACGGAAGCGGCCTCTAGTGGCTGTCAGTGAGACAGCCACTAGTGGCTGGATTAACCCTGCAGTGTAAACATGGCAGTTTCTCTGAAACTGCTGTTTTAAGCTGCAGGGTTAAAACTAGAGGCACCTGGCACCCAGACCACTTCATTGAGCTGAAGTGGTCTGGGTGCCTACAGTGGTCCTTTAAGCCATAGCATTATCGACAAGCTTGGAAACATGAGACATTACGGTATGTTCTTGTTAATAACTTCATCTCTAAATGTCCCCTAGATAATTCACAATGGCAGAAGCTGGAGAGGAGTGGGAACTATGCAAAGAAAACGTTCAACCTCTACGCCAGGGTAGAGTAATGTCCACTCTACAGGAAGTGCTTTCCCAACAAGAGAGTGCCAGTCATACTGTCATCCAACAACAGAAGCAGTAAGTAAGACTTGAGTCAGTCCAGACTTGCCTTCTAGGCTGCAAAATAAGAATGCTGAGTGACATGTCATGATATAGAATGCCATGACTGTACTTTTCCTCTATTAAATGTACTCCTACTTCTCATAAATATTTGTCAGTCACTGAAAACTAAAACGTTGACCTTTTTTATCTGAAGCTAATAAATGTTAAGTATTAAGCATTTTATTTACAAGTCCCTGGAGTGCAGTCTTTGAGTTTAATTTTATATTATTACTGATAAGCAACAGGAATTTAAAATCTTATGTGTTTTTAAAGGACCACTCTAGGCACCCAGACCACTTCAGCTTAATGAAGTGGTCTGGGTGCCAGGTCCAGCTAGGGTTAACCCATTTTTATTTTTTATTTTTTTTTAAACATAGCAGTTTCAGAGAAACTGTTATGTTTATAAATGGGTTAATCCAGCCTCTAAAGCCTCTAGTGGCTGTCTCATTGACAGCCGCTAGAGGCGTTTGCGTGCTTCTCACTGTGAAAATCACAGTGAGAAGACGCCAGCGTCCATAGGAAAGCATTATGAATACTTTCCTATGAGACTGGCTGAATGCGCGCGCAGCTCCTGCCGCGCATTCAGCCGAAGAGGAGGCGGAGGAGGAGAGCTCCCCGCCCTGTGCTGGAGAAAGGTAAGATTTTAACCCCTTCCTCTCCCCAGAGCCCGGCGGGAAGGGGGACCCTGAGGGTGGGGGCACCCTCAGGGCACTATAGTGCCAGGAAAACGAGTATGTTTTCCTGGCACTATAGTGGTCCTTTAATGGGCATGCTTGCTACAGAAATTGTATACTCTTAGACTAGCTTTGAGAGCACAGCCAATCTGGTAGAAATTGATAATTTAATGAAAATCTTGTTCCAGGGCTTTTGAGCTAGAACTCCGCTTTTACAATGGAGATGATCCCCTGGATGTTTGGGACAGGTAAGCATGGTTTGTGTTTTTAAAAAGCCAATGTTTTTTGTAGTCTTGTCACAAACTGTCTTTGCTTTAAAGAGACACTATAATCACCAGAACAACTATAGCTTATTGTATTTATTCTGGTGAGTAGAATTTTTCCCTTCAGGCTTTTTTGCAGTAAACACAGTTGTTTTAGAGAAAATGCAGTGTTTACATTATAGCATAGGGATAACCCCTATATAGCCCCTGATCTGCCTCTTTGACCGTCTCCGCCAATCCAATGGAAAAGCATTGTGATTGGTTTACAGAATCACTTCTGATGATGTCAGCCAAGCAGGCAGATCAGAGGCAGCAGCTGCATACTTGAATACAAGTAAGATTTTACTATATTTAGGGAGGCAAGGGAAGTTCCAGGCGGGCAAGATGGTGGTTTCAACACTATCGGGTCAGAAATGCATGTTTGTGTACCTGACCCTATAGTGTTCCCTAAATTTAATTTGGATTCTATTACCCACAAACATCAACAAATTATGTGTAGCCCCTTTGCCATACCAGCAACATCTTCTGTTGCTTGTTGAAGATACCCTGGAAGTCTTTAACTGGATATGGCCTTTTTATGAAGTCTTTTACAGTCTGTCATAATTTTTTTTAATTTATTTTTTTTACATACTTTACATGTACATCAGTGAAGACTGTAAGCATTTTCCAGAAAGCATGGGACAATGTTCATTTTTAAATTGTGACAAATTAGCTTTCTCCATTTACCACGTGTGTCTTTTTTTGTTATTTCTTTCCTTACCTCTCCCTTTCTGTAGATTTTATTCAACTACTAGGGAATTGCAGTACATTTCTCACCAAAATATAGCTGGAAAAATTGCAGCTTGAGAATTTTTCTAGGTGAGCTGCAAATTTTCAGTCCAGTGAAAAGCATGTTGTCTTCCAAAAAATGCGTCTTTTTGGTTATCTTTTGCGATATCCTCCCTTTATTTTCTCTCTAGTTACTGTTTGAAAATTTACAAAAATATTGTCTTCTTGGCTTTAATCGGTATTAGGTATATAAAATGGGCAGAACAAGCATTTCCCCAGGGCGGTAAGGAGAGCAACCTGGCCCCTCTGCTAGAGAGAGCTGTTAAGATTTTCATTGAAGATAAAAATTATTATGGCGACCTCCGATATCTTGGCATCTGGCTTAAGTTTGTAAGTATGAATCCTAAGGCTGCCTATTATTGTTGTGATAATTTGTGGTCCAATAGTGTAACTCGTGGAGGTTCTATTTAGATGTAAATATCGAGAAGTTGAATTCAGGGTGTTTTGAATTGACCATGTCTGCAAACCATACCTACCTTATGCTAGTTTATTATGATCTCTCCTTGTTTATATCTGGCTTCCCATTTGTTGTATTGGAATGTTGAGACATGAATCACAAAAAAATATCTTTAAGCAAGTCCATCTCTGAATTTGCGACCCCTGCAAAATTTTTCAAAAGGGCTCGGGATGCCCTTGAAATCAGTTAGCATGGCATTTGAATTTTTTTGAATTCTTTCCTGAACTAATGGAGGTTCCAGGGAATGTTACTTCCCTCTGTTACTTTACAATATAGGTGGCTCTCAAATGGGCCATTCCCCTGCCACAAACCTAGTTAACTGACTTTGTAAGTATTTTTGAAGTTTATTTTTTATTAATCATGAGATTTGCCTTTTCACCTGTGTCCTTACAGTATATTAAAGGACCACTATAGGCACCCAGACCACTTCAGCTTAATGAAGTGGTCTGGGTGCCAGGTCCATCTAGTTTTAACCCTGCCTGCTGTAAACATAGCAGTTTCAGAGAAACTGCTATGTTTACATTAGGGTTAATCCAGCCTCTAGTGGCTGTCTCACTGGTATAAAACTATTTTTGTGTTCTACATATTCTAGCTATAGCCATAACAATTCTAATTTTGACAGGACTCTGGTGCATTTGCAGAGGAGACTTCCAAGTGTTTCTGCTTGCATTGTTTAACTTTGTGTGTTTTGTTTTAGGCACATTTCTGCTCAGAACCCCTTGATCTGTATAGCTACTTGCACAGCCAAGGTATTGGTATTTCCCATGCTTTACTTTACATCGCTTGGGCTGAAGAATATGAGGCCCAAGGCAATTGCAAGAAAGCAGATTCTGTTTTCCAGGAGGGCACTCAACGTAGAGCAGAACCCATGGAAAAGCTGGAAATGCACCATCGGTAAGGAACTTTTTTTTTTTTTCGAGATCCACCTGTGACCAATAGATCTGGTTAGCAGTTTTGCTCAGCAGACACCGTTTCTACCCCTCCATGTTCCAGGCAGTTCCAGGCCAGAGTTTCCCGTCAAGCAGTACAAGGAATCTCTGAGGGAGCAGATACTGAGGAAACCGACATTACTGAGCCACAGCGAAGCTACCTGGTGGATCTAAAATTCAGAGGAAAGAATAAGGCACGTGCCCCTGTAAGCAGAGTGGGAGAGTTCACCAAACGTAAGTGCTGGACATTAATTTCCACTTCCTAATGAGTAGTTTCCTTTTATTTAGTAATCCTGTTCACGTCATGGTGGAGGATTGTAATTTTATTTGTAATTCTTTACTTTACAAATCTGCATTGACAACATAGATCTCTAGTTGTCTTTCAATACAGTGTTTTGTTTTTTTGGTGGGGTATTTTCAGCACGCAGTCAAAGTCTTGCCCAAGTTGGTCCTCCACAGCAAATCCCAGCCAGGTCTCGCATTTTGGTGTTTGATGAGAATGCCATGGCACCAGTTGCTTCTGGACCTACTGTGTTAAATCCACAGCCATGGGCAGCAATTCCACCTCCTCGTGCTAAAGAAAATGAGCAACATGCAGGACGCTGGAACTCAGGCCGGGTAAGATACAAGCTCTTGGTATGTTTGATATGATCCTGTCTCTCTTCTCTTTATTTATATATATTTTTGTTTTACAGTTATGTTATAGGTCACTGAAATGTTTTGTACTATGAAAATGCATAACATTTTTTATATACATTGTACTTTTTTTTACTGGCTTTATATTGCCTACTTGTAGCAAAGTGGGATTTTTTTTTTTATTTGCTACGTGTGAGACATGTTTTCTGTTTCGTCAGGAAATATAGGAACTAAGTGACAGATGTCGATTAATTCGTGCTATGGCAATAAAGCTCGCATGTAAGGGGATAACGGCAGCGATGCCAGCTTTGAGGTTGATTCACCAAAGTTGGAATCATTGTGAATTTTAAATTTTAGGCCAAATCGATGAATTTTCTATCTCTAGTATTTGAGTTTATTGAAGAATGCGCTGCAGAGTTCTGTTAATATTAACCTATTACTTTGTGTTTTTATTCAGGCCTCCCGTAACAGCCAGTCGACGGCCAACTCAGAAGTGCCCGTGACCACTGCACCCAGCTTCACACCTTATGTTGATGAAGTAGCAGAACAGCAGATTGTGTATGTTAAGACAGAAAAAGCAATGTTTGTTGGTTTCATCCATGACATGTCTTGTTACCTGTGTAACTGTCTTGATAGTAGTCTAAGGAGATGCAAGGTTGGCTTTGCCAATTATCTTGTTTAATGCATTAAATACTTTAGATGCCTTTGAAGGCTATTGTTATCTCCTCCTGCACTGACCGGTTTCTTCACTAAAGTGTGTATTGCTGGGAATTCTAAATTAACTTCACATTTTGGGCAACAGTAATTGAACCATTGTTTCCTACAATTTGAAATCCATTTTGAATTCCTGACAATTCACATTTGAAGTGGTGATTGCGCTTGGAGACTGATTGTGCAGCATTTTAGTTTGATTTAAAGCACATTGCTACTGGAGGTGTACTTACACTTCTGGCTGCGTTATTAGGCAGCCTAGAACTAGCCAGCCGAAGGATCTCTCAAGCTGTTCCTGGCCACCTGTAGCATTTTTGGGGAAACTTAGTTGGCATGCCTGTAGCCTATTCACTAATAACACAGATATGTATTGAGGCTTGTACATGTTCTGCCTTTTCATGTAACAAGCAAGCAGTGGGAACCGTTCTCACAGCCCATATTGTGTATTCAAATTTATTTTTACTGAATGAGACGCTTCTAGTGGCACTGTAAGTTTAAAATCTGAGCAACTGATATCATTGCGTTACGGTACAAAATCGATGGGTTATGTTTCTGGTAAGGGAAAAAAAAACTTACAGGGAATTGCTGTTTTCGCTGAAAGTGTGTATGTACAAATATTTCTTGTCTTTCGTAGCTGTAATATGTCTCCCTTGAGTAATCCTTGTTTGTGCACTTGTTAGGACCCCGTGTAAGATTAACCCAACAATCACCAGTGTCCTGAGTACTCGCAAACCTAGCAAAGAGGAGGACCCTCTGCAGCGAGTGCAGAAATCTTCAGAAGGAAAAGAGGAGATGGTTATGTACTGTAAGAGTAAAGAGTCTATGCTGGAATGGAGGAGTTCTCCTTGGAAGAGATCCGAGCAGAAATCTACATGGTGAAGCTGCGTAAGAAAAGAGAAGGTAAAGAAGTGTCTTTCTATGTGATGTGTAGTGTCAGCAGACATACCCAAACTTTGTTTTTACACTGAGCCGTTGTTTCAGTGTTGGTGTCTAATACACCAATGCCTGTAAGATAACTGACTGATTCGATATCTATCTAGGTCAGGGGTGCCCAAAAGGTAGCTCCCCAGATGTTTTAAAACTACACTCCCATGATGCATTGTAAAGGCATGCAAAGCATCAATGGAGTTGTAGTTCTACATATGGGCATCTACTATTTGGGCACCCCTGATCTAGGCATTTTAACAACGGCTGACAATTATACTTGTACCACTGTGTATTGCAAGCATCGCTAGAACTCTGGAGTTTATGCAGATGCTTTTCTGTGAACACACAGGCTTTAGATGCAGATGAACCATAGCGGACATAATTTCATGTACACACTGTTGACAAGGAATTCACTATTATTTCAGTGCCCCTGTCCTCTTTCTAAATGCTTTGCTAACTAGAGAGATGTACTTTAACTTTGCATGATTCCTACAAATTAAAGGGACTCTATTGTCTGGAGATCAGACATTGACATAATGAGAAAAATTCTGTGTCCTTCATAGACTTGATAGTGTCTGTATTTCCATACCTGTTCCTGGCCTTCCCTTAGCTTCCTTTAAAATGCAGTGTGTTGTCAATTAACTCTTGCAATTGCCCTGTTTTAAAATATATCGTTTATAGACTTGCATCAGCCTGCAAACAAGCATATCTTTGCCAGCTAGCATTGAAATGATTATAGGCATTCAATGGTAATGATTAACCCCTTAAGGACACATTACATGTGTGACATGTCATGATTCCCTTTTATTCCAGAAGTTTGGTCCTTAAGGGGTTAAACCACTTTGCTTGTATTTTCCTGGCAAATAAAATGGATTGCTACCTGGGCTGTATTTATACAATCCACCTCAACTCTTCCTTTTTTGATTGTAGAGTTAAAGGGACACTCTAACACCAGAATCCCTAAGGCTTAATGTAGTGGTTCTGGTGCAAAGAGACTGCATTGCTGAAACTTCAGGGACAAACAAAAAGGCAGTATTTACAGTGCTTCTGAAGGACATCTCTAGTGACTGTCACTTAGCCACTAGTAGAGCTTCTTGTTGTCCTTTGCAGGACTGGATTTTGATTTCTGTGCATGCACAGTTTCCCCTATGGGAAAGCATTGTGTCGTCATGGAGATATAAACTTTACAATCTACAAATAACCTAATGGGAATATTATGTTTAATGAGGTGTTTCATAATATCTTTCAAATAACTTTTATTTTGTGTTTTTACTTGCAGCTCCTAATACAGGTCAGTCAGCAAATAGTCAGGATCCTGTCACTACCCACCCTTTTGCTATACCCCAATCAGCAGCAACGTCTTAAATTTCCACCCCTTTCTAGCCAGCGTGAAAGAACCAGCTTGTATTTTCCACGATGGTCTCAGTCAGCCTCAGTGTGGCATGTCAACCAAAATGCTATTGCAGTCTAGCTGAACTCTTCTCATTCTGTGCCTCCATGCCAGTGGTGAAGTGCATGTGAGTTGGCCAGCACTTGGTATATGTATGCACTTTTATTCAGGAGCTTGGGGTCTCATGTACCCTAGGTCACCAGGGTCAAGCTTGCTTCCATCTTTATTGGTGTCACAAGACTTTTAAACTATATTGTTACTAGTTATCTTCACCCTATGTCTGTCATCCATAGCCAAACTAACGCAGTCCACATTATTGTACAGAACTTAACCCATCTGCTACCGGAGGTGTAATGCCATTCTCTGGCAGCATCATTAGCCAGCCTTTAAACAAGACTGCGTACAAATTTGGTGTCTGCCCCATGCCCTTCCTAGACTGATGTCAGCTCTAGAGGGTTGGACTGCAGGGAGAATTTGGCCTCATCACTGGAACACGGGTAGTAACCAGCAACGTTGACTGTAGCCAAAACCAGTGTTTGATGAAATCAACTTTTTTTTCCCCCTTTGGTTGGGGAAACCTTTTATGATAACTTGGAAAATGTGGGCAGTGACTTTCAACAGAAAACCAGCATGCTTGTGGTAGGGGTGGAAATTTACTGAAAGGGCAGTAATAGAATCCATGAGCAGTGTGTGATTTATCAGCCGTCGCTTGAGTGGACACCTGGACTGCATTGGAATACAGCACCTACAAAGTGCCAGGAACTATACAAATATGTGTAAAAATAGACTGAAAGAAAACTATATCTTTAACTTAGGAGTTAACTTTGAGAGCAGATACACGTACAGAGTGGGGAAACATTAGCTTGACAGACTTACTGACCAAAGTGGAGGTTTGTGAGTCGCTAAGAGAAAGCTCAGCATTTCATTGGTTTCCATGGAGGTTGGTCTGGTTTGAGAACTTTCATTCACTTTTTTTTTTTTTTTTTTCATTAATGAAGAATGTCTGTCATCTACTTCATACATAGATCTTTCCTATTGTTGGGAACAATTATCTCTTAATGAATTTATACAAATAGATTCATAGATATTGCTTTTTTTGAAACTTAAGATCTATTCCTTTGTTTACAGAACAGGGTAATTGTTAACTGATAAACTACCTATTCAGTTTGATCCTAACTACAAGGGGCAGTATTTTGGCAGGATGTAACTAGGGGGCAGCCTGTGTCCACTGACAGTTAAGGTGTTTGAGTTAAACATGACTTTCAGATCACTGTTATGCAAGCAGTGAGTGCACTAGGGTGTTAAAATATGTTTCAATTAAGCCTTATCTGACAGTTTTACTGTGAACCACTGCCTGCAGGCTCCAGACACCTTTGTGTTTCAGCTAAATAAATGCTGGCACAATATTATCCCTGCTAAAGTTAAAGTAAGCCCTGTGAATATATAACTAATATATTGTGTAACCATGTCTCTGCAGTAAGTTAATTGCTGAATCTATGCATATTTAAGGATCTTTGTGCAAGACATGTTTAAGCAATTGTTGGTATAAATCAAGCACGATTCCCTCACTTTCATGTAGTTTGTGTTAACTCTTGACTTCCAGAGGGGAAATGTTTTCATATTGGAGTGAGGTCTAAATAATTTGACCCGCAGTGCTGAATCTGCTTTGGTTACTGTGTGTTTATTACATGCACTCACATTTGCTTGTGTTTCTTTTGCATGTGATATTTAAAATAAAGTTTTTATCTCAGAATGTCCACTTGTCATTTTGTATATACTTTCTCTTTCTATCTGTTTAATATTAAATATTTTTTTTTATACTATCGCCTCCCAAAAAAGAATAATTAAAAAGTGGTTTGAATAGTTGCATCTCTGTTAAAGGAACATTATCCTTAAAATGTGTATTTTAAGCACGGAGTAGAATAGGGTAGAAAACTATGCAGGTTTTTTTTTTAACCCTCATTACCTTTGTCACTTGATGCATGATTACATGATGCAGATCATATATTGCACCCAGTTCCAGAAATGATTTGCATTTATGAACTTTGAACGTTATGCCAGTCCCTCAAAACTGTCAATCGTAACTGGAATTCTCCTTTCCAGCAGACTATCAGATTTTTGCCCATATTGTCTCTGCATAGACAGCGTTCTCTCCTCCCCAGAGAGCTAAGCACAGCCTTACAAATTGCGACACAGCACATATTACTAAACAGTGAACTGGGCCATGTCTGCACCCGTGGGAACTTTATTTTTTTACGAAGTGACAACCAGTTTTAAAGTAAATCTATATTTAAGTTTTCTAAAGTGATGGATTTTGATGGTTAAATTCATGTTTTGAACATTCCTTATCTACTGTATGATCCTGTAGAGAATATTGAACTAGGAAACAAACATTTTTGATGTATCAAAGGTAGATCCGTGAAATAATTAGGTATTTTTAGTTTATATGAAACACTTGTTGGCATGTTCACTTACCATGTGAAAGCTGTAGCTTATTTTTATATATATATATATATATATATATTTTACAGGTACCATGACCACTATAGGTCACTGTAGTGGTTATGGTACCAGGAGTATATTGGCATCCTTGTACAGTAAGTAGTTGACCGGTTTTCAAAGCTAAGCCCAGCCGTGCTCATTTCCAGCCTGTGAGCTGAGCCTCTAGTGCAAGTCTTGGCTAACGGGAGTTGATGGAAGCTAACTGCAGGAGCTCTAGATAAGTTGTTAAACGCTGGAACGGGACATTTGAATTATTTCAAACCCACTTTTGTGTTGCCTTACTGTTGAACCTTTTGCAATAGAATTTTTATTAGACTCCAAGGAGGAGAAGGTGGGGAGGGGATGGGTAAGATCCTTTGTTAACAAATGGATGAAAACATTAGCAACTTTTCTGACCCCTGGGTTTAAATCAGGTGATTAATTCTGATGGACAGCAAGAGGTTAAAATAAAAGTGGAAAAATATTTTCCTTGAAGCAGTGGGGTTCCACTTAACTGATAAAGGCCTTTAATATGTTCAACGCATCCACTTGAGTACCAACTATGGAACTAGTCACAGCCTCTTTACATCAACCATACATGATTTTAAAAAAATATTATTCTCCTTGGATTGGATAAAAGATTTCCTTGGATCTCAACAGATTGTGCCTTTTTTTTTTTATAAGCTCATAAAAGACCCATTATAGTCTCAGTTCCAGATTTCTTTAGTCAAATTTTGCACATGGAGTCCACACACACATCCTGGGCATTACGCTCTCCTTACAGGAGAGGAAGGAGAATTGCAGACGGTGAACAGGGCTATGTGTAAAACGGCAATATGGCTATCTGTTTATCGAGCACTTTCTCCAACTTTTTTTTTGGAGATAATCCACTAATCCCATAAACACCTCTGCATTCTAGAATGAGATTATCCTGACTAGAGATCTCCTCCTGCTGGTCGACCCTTTAAACTTCCTGCATTTACTTTGCTATCTGTTAATTATCAAAATATCTAACTCAATAAACATTGCTTATGGAAAATGGTCAAATCTAGAAGTAAATTTGAATCCTATTGCTTATGTAAAATATCCCAGTCCTTTTTTAAAACCTAACTGAAAATGTCAGGCAACAAAAGCCAAACTAATCTTACTAGTTTCATTCCCATCTTCTTTTCCCAAAGAGGTCTAATCCTGAACCAAACGTTTATGTGCAATACAATCCCTCCACAGACATTGATCTTTACTCGTGTGATTTTGTCAGAAATTGAAAGTTATTAAAATTTTAGGCAATGGTTGACAAATGGAAGAAAAACAATCTGTTTTCAGTTCATCTACTTTGGGTTAACATTCAGTTAAAGGACCACTATAGGCACCCAAACCACTTCAGCTCAAGTGGCCAGCTCAAGTGCCAGGTCAATCTAGGGTTAACCCTGCCTGCTGTAAACCTAGCTGTTTAAGCCTCTAGTGGCTGTCTCATTGACAGCCGCCAGAGGCGCTGCCGTGCTTCTCACTGTGATTTTCACAGTGAGAAGACGCCAGCGTCCATAGGAAAGCATTGATAATGCTTTCCTATGGACGATCTGACTGTGCGCGCGGCTCTTGCCACACATGCACATTCGGCCAAAGAGGGAGGAGATTCCCCAGCGCTGAGGGAGCCCGGCACTGGAGAAAGGTAAGCCTTTAACCCCTCCCTCCCCCTAGAGCCCTGCAGGAGGGGGGGCACAATAGTGCCAGTAAAACGAGTTTGTTTTCCTGGCACTAAATTGGTCCTTTAAAATTGGCCGTGAATTCCTGACTATCACTCTTTGAGTAACCCTTTTGTTCGAGGAGCTTCTGTACCTCTTAAATCTTGGGAATGAAAGAAAATGTTATGGGGAAATACATGGGTTTGCTACTTGAATAAAAAATGTTCACTTGGTTTGAAATATAGATGACTGGTCTAGCTACAAGTGTGATACACGGTAATTCACGAACGTGAGAATTGTTGGGAATTTTAAATTCGAGGTCAGTGTAGACTAACGGATTGCATAGATGACCTGAAGAATTTTTCCAGTTTGTTTTTATTTTTCGCTTTGAAATTCAATTTGAATTTGCTGTAACATTCTTGATAAATTTCACTCTAGTGAAAGTCTTGTTACTGTAGACATTTCACTTGATGTATATCAGTACAGCTACTGTCTAACACGTTTGTTCTGTTTTTTTTTTTGTTTTTGTTTCCTTTTAACAGAAGAATTACAAGCCTGTGCTCAACGTAGACTGGAGATGGAACGGAAAATTGAGGAAATGGAGAGACTGCTGAAAGAAGCAGGTCTTCGTCTAGACGAGAAAGTAAATGAACAGGTACCCGAAGTTTATGCAGATGGATCATGTTAAATATTGGTCCTTTTTAAATAAATACATTTTCAGCATGACATTAACAATTAAAACTTGTTTGGCTCTCTCTAGCCAGAAGTTTTATAGCTGTAGGTCTGCAAAATAAGTGGATGTCAAACATATGGCCTGATTAACTTAATATGCAGCATGTGTTTGGGAGGTATCACGTTGGAGCAAGGCATCCCCCCACTACCCCATTGCTTGGTCTGAGTGTCCCTGTGTGTTATGTCACTTATCCGTATTAACAACTTTGTGCTGTTCCACTAGGTGGCGCTGCATTGAGTAATGATGTGTTATGCAAGCAGATGAGTCTAACTGCCTACTGCATAGTGAGACAATATAGAGCATATAATATGTAGAGCAATGCATACCAGATTATTAACAAATGTGTTAATTGGCAGAATTGAAAGAATTTTTTATTTTTTTTTATTTTTTTTAAACCTCAAAATACCCGCTTCAGAAGAATTCTCGAAGTCCATCCTTTTTCCTAAAATTTTAAATTGACTCCGACTTCCTGACAATTCACATTTTAGTGGATAATCCTGTTAATGCTCTTGCCCCCTACTTTAGACTGCCTGGGATGTGCCTCCTAATATAGCAATGATCATCATTCTGCAAGTTTAAATTGTTACTCCAAGCACCATGCCCTCTTCAGTGATTTTAATTGGTTATGGTGCCTGGAGTCTTTATATACAGCATTTTTCTATAACTCTGCACATATGGCGCTTTTAACTAGTAATGCCATTGGGTACAATGTTGGTCAGCCTGGCACAAGATATTCTGGCTAATGTCAATTCTATGCATGGACACTGTCATTGTATGAGAGCAGTCAGCTGTCGCAGTATATTAACATCTGGCGTCTGCAGCTCTGCACAAGATTGGTATTGTATACCTGGTGAACAGGAAACCATGCTCTCGGACAGACCCAAGTAAGAAGGCAAACCGTAGCAAAACATTAGAAGCACCATAACTACAACAGCCTGCAGGGATCTGCAAGACTGCGCTAACTAACAATGAGTCAGCTGAGTGCCTCCAACCAAACACTGGTTGCATCGGTCAGGCTTCACTCTGTACCGATATCTGGCTTAATCTGCAGGAGAAGATCAGATGCAGCCCGGGTTCATGAGGACCCAGGTAATTTGTCAAAATGTAGTAAAACGGTTTTGACTACTTACCATAGAAGGCCTTTAGGGCATGCCCGGGCACCATAACCACTGAAGTGAGTTGTACTGGTTATGGTATTTAAAGTGTTCCCTTAATACAATAAATTTGCCATCCTTCATTCTCTGAAATGTATTTTTTTTTTTTTTTGTAAATATATTTTTATTTGTTGTGCACAAACAAAACAGCGAGACTCGCAGGTCTCCATTAACTCATTAGGTGCAATAACACTTGTACAACTTGCGAGAGAATAAGAATGTTTTTAATAAGTGTTGATGATCTACATTTGGTCTCGCAGGCCCATATTGTGAATGGACTCGCAGGTCCCTCATCATATTATTTTTCCCCCTTGAGTGTAATCTTTTGCTTGTTTTTTTCCATGCTAATAAATTACCTGCGTGGTATGCACGTCTTCAGTTACATTGAGCTTTGAACAGTTTTAAAAGTTTGTATGTGCATTTGGGCTCGCAGGTCCCTTGCATGTGAGACGTGTGTGTGTGTGTGTGTCCCTACTGTGTAAGCCTGTCTACGGGGAGGTTGTGTAACAGCCCGGGTCGCATGGTCTGCATCTTTCGTCTTTTGTCCCTTTTTGTAGGGCCTTGTATGATTTATGCGTTCTCCTTGTCTATGTGTCTGGTCCTCTCGTGTCTGTTTTAGTGTTTAGTAGTCGCCTTAGTACTGGTAAGCTAGTGTTGCTGAGGGTGCTACAGCCCCTGCTGGCTGTCTTCTCCCCCCTCTCTGGTTTTGTGGCATCTTTTGACTGAATCATGGTGGTGTCGATGTCAATTTAGTGAAATCTGGGTCAGTTGTCTTTAGGATCCAATGTGTCAAAGTGTTGAGGTACACTTGGAATGTATCGTTAGCTGTATGATGAAGTTCCTCTAGGGATCTCAGTTCCTCCATTTGTGTGAATCAGGTCTTCAGGGGAGGGGTAACCTGTTGTTTCCAATACTGTGGTACTATCAATTTGGCCGTGTTTAATATGCGGATTGTGAGTGATTTCTTATACGCTGTTCTGGGGATCTTGGTGTGGTGTAAGAGCATTGCTGCTGGGCTAAATGGGAAGGGGTCGTCTGTAAACTTTCCCAGTATCTGATGTATACCTGTCCAGTATGGGGCTATCTTCTTGCACTCCCACCAGATGTGTAGGAGCGTGCCTCCTTCCTCCCCGCACCTCCAACACTGGGAGGGGTGGGATCGAATGCGGGCATGTAGCGTCGCGGGAGTGTGGTACCAGTGCGTCAGTAGTTTATATGCCGTTTCCTGAGTCCTGCTAAAGCTGGAGCAGTGGTGTGTCAGATAGCAAATTTTCTCCCACTCCGCCTTGTCAAAGGCTTGGCCTAGCGCCGCCTCCCACTTCCCCATGAACTGTGGTTGTGCAATTGGTGTGAGTGTCAGTAATAGGGTGTATAGCACCGATACTCCGTGTGCCAGTGGGTCGGGGTCCAGGCATAGGGTCTCGAAGGGGGTAGTGGACCGATGTAGTATCGGTCCCTGTGGGAGTGTGGTGATATAGCTCCGTTTGTATTTGAGGTGCATCAGGAAAGTATGTTCAGTGTCCCCTCTCAGATCCTTGAGTGTCTTGATGCCCTCAGGGGTGTGGATGAGTCTGGTTAATGGGTCCTGTATTATGTCTTTGAACGCTTTCGGGTCCATTCCCGGTGGGAAGTCAGGGTTGTGTATCAACGGTAATAGTGGGGTTGGGTATGAGGTTAGGCCGTGTCTCCCTTTTGTGCGGTTCCATTCTCGTAAGGTTGCTCTCGTGTAGGGGGACTGTTTCTCATCCCCTTTCCGAGCCTCGGGTGGTAGCCACGGTAGTATTGCAACCGGGACGCCCGCCTCGTGGTCCTCTACCTGCTTCCACTGTTTATGTGTTCCTGGTTTAGTCCATTCCATTATCCGCATGAGATGGCAGGCCCTATAGTAGAGGTGAAAATCTGGCAGTGCCAGTCCGCCCCTGTCTTTTGGTTGTGTGAGTAATGCGTGGCGCAACCTGGGCTTTTTCCCGTTACAGACATATTGGGTTAGGGCCGTGCGTAGCGTAGAGAAGTACGCTCTGGGAACCGTTATGGGAATTGTTTGGAATAGGTATAGTAGACGCGGCAGGAAGTTCATCTTCACCACCTGTATCCTGCCTAGCCATGAAATGTGAGGGTGTGCCCATTCCTGCATCTCCGAGCGCATCCTCTCGTGCATTACGGTGGTTTTCCTTGAATAGGTCCCCTTCACGTTTGGTTAGCCAGATACCCTAGATATTTGATTTTTTTTTTGTGTTGCCCATTGAAATGTGTAGTGTTGGCGTAGAGTTTCCGCCCTGTGTGCCTGGACGTTAATGTGAAGTATAAATGATTTAGTGAGGTTAA